TCTAGTAGACATCACAACATATAACCATGAGTCTTTCATACAAGAACACGTCTCTAGTTCCATTTACCCAATTCAAATTATTGAACATTTTATTCAAATGAGCAAATGGATTTGAGTAATTCCAATTATTTGTAACATCTATTTTATTATGTATTCTTAGTCTCATGCTCTGATAATTTGTTTAGTTATTCTAAGATAAAAATTCGATTACATTCATCCCACATCATTCTCAAAAGTTAAGTAAGTTAAAATGAGAAATAAATGATATAAAAAGGGTAATCCTACTGCAACAGAATATAAAACTACTGGTCATTCTTAAATGGGTCAACTACTTCATTCTCGAATGGGTCCTGATGATCAATTCACTGTCCTTTCTCATCCATCTCAAATTCAATTTTAAAATTTCAAATTTAGAGGATTGATTTCAACTACACTGCATATTTAAGGGATTAAAATGAATGTCAATATTACACTTATTCAAATTATGTTTTCTTTAAAATGCATGACTTATATTTAGATTTTTTCTACATGTATCTTTTTCTATCTTAAAAAAACATGGTTTTTATTTGTTACTTCAATGGCAATTAATTCATGCACATGCTACTTGAAAAAACAAATCTCATTAAATGTCTAGTCTTTCATTTTCAATTTATGGTCATACATTGTGTTTCATAATTTTATGTTCGTTACTTAGATTGATTGTATTTAGAAGTTTCTCTTGGCTTCTCCTGCAAGCATTTCTCTTGTCAAACATAATTGAAACTTGAATGTTAAGATTCTTCACATATGGAAGCTTGTGATTATTAAGAATAGCAAGTTTATGTTCTCCTTTGCAGTACCAAGTTTCTCACAAATTTTTGGATAATAATTTTATATTATTAATACATGTTAATTAAATTATTTATTATTTTATTTTAAAAATAAATCTCTAATTTTAGAAAATTGAACCGATTATTATATTTCTGAAAGAAAGAAAAACATGCATTACCTTTAACTTTTGCCTTAATTTCATAACTGTCACTAAATTATTACCACAATTTTTATGTCAGTTTTTTTCATAGTCTAAAACGACTAAAATTCAGTTTTTTAAATGCTTTAAACATATATTTCATCATAATTAACTCTTATAATTCTTAAGATTAATCCTTTTATTAACCTAGTATTAAGTTACTTGTGCTGAATAAATTTAAACCTTTTATTATAAATAAATATCTTTTTTTTTTCTATGAGAGGGGCTTAAAAGCCCAAAATAAACAACACCTTAGCCAACATATACTAAAATCCAAATTAAGAAAAAGTAAAAAAAAAAAGGGAAGGAGAGTCTTAAATGAGATAGACGAAAAAGGAGCTTATATGAATAAATTTTACAAAATTAATAATTTTTAGAACATCTTTAATATTGCAGATTAATGATGGAAGAAATTATCATAATAATAGTAAGAATTTAAATAATAATTAGGTTAATATAAAAATTTACGATGTCTCTGTAATAGGAAAAGAGTTTAAAATAATTATATATATTTTTATATTTCTTTTTTAAAGTTTGAAGATATCATATTTTAAGTAAAAAATGTTTATATGTATATACACCAATCCATTCATTATTTGAAGATTTTTATCAAATAAATTAATTTTATAAAATTTTATATAAAAATAAAATTAATAAATACTTTATTTTTATAAATTATTATATTTTTAAAATATAAATAAATATTAAATTTATTTTTTTATTTCTTATCCGATTTAATCTAAATTTGATCAGAATCACGCACTTAAGTATAGTAAGTGAATTTATTATTAAATTTTTTTGTCATATATAAAAACTCAAATTTAAAAATTTACTTAAGTGATACTGAATCACTTGTCACTCAAATTAATCTTTATTAAAATAAATATTAAATTTTAAATAATATATTAATATTTAAATTCATATATAATTATAAAAATAATATAAGATAATTTAATAGCTAAATTAATAAATTTTATATTTTATTAAAAATATTAAAAAGTATAAATATCTGTTAACCCGGTGCATATAAAAGATAATTTTATAGATACAATCCCTTTTCTAGAATAGATAGAATATTGACACCATATCAGATGGTCGATGAGGATCACGAAACAAAACAATTATCTATTGGTAAAACCCACTCGCAGTCAGGATGAGGAATATTCATTAACTTTTACAACGTTCTAATTATGTTTTACTAGAAAAAGCTAGAAGGTGCACAATATTCAAAATTAAATATAGATATATTGTTTGTTAGTTGAAGTATATTACAGTTTGAATTTATTTAAAACTAAAATAAATAGATATCTATTTATTGATATTTTGATGGATCTCTATAAAAACAGATTAAAAAATATAGAATATATTTATATGTAATATTTCTACTATTGAAAAATAAAACTGAATATTGCATTTTATATTTTACTATTTTATTTTTCATGATTAAAGTTTTTTATACATTACAAAATATTTTATTTATTATTTTAAAAATAAATTTATTTAAAATTTTATTCAAAGTCAATGTTATAATATCTATGTCCATTGTGTCCCAGGTTGTCCACATCCCGACAGCTCAGCATCCAAAACATGATTGCTTTCGAAGATTCCCTCACACAAATTAACAACAAATACGCGCATTCCCTTGCACGCTACGTCCCAACAACTTGTATCTTTCGTACAGATTTAATTATTTGGGCTGATTGTTTTTATATATTTTCTATAAAATAAATATTAATTTTTTAATAAAACTTGTATACTTTTTATATAATAAATATTTCAATTTAATAAAATTATTTAATATTAAATAATCATATTTAAATTTTTATCGCATGTTTTTTATATTATAGCAATATTTTTAGATTTTAAAAAATGTATTCATTATGAAATAATAATAATAAAATTATGAATCTCAAAAAATATTTTTAAAATTATTAAATTAAAAAGGAAAATAAGTTAAAGCTGAGAAATATGAAAATAACTAATTTTATATATTTTAAGTTAATTAGTATTCATGATTTAAAATATAAATTAAATATTTTTCTAAAAATTAATGTAAAAAGGAAATTATGTAACTTAATAAAAATGAAAGTAAAAAACGTTAACGACCGAAAATATCTTTTATATAAGAAATTAAATCCCATTTTTCAATTCATTTATTTATTTTATTTAAAGAAATATTTTACACTCAATTGTAGAAACAATAATATCCACGTGTTTGGTTTCAGAGTTTATGGCGCAAAAACGTTTTGTTTGACGAGTCATTCTGTTAAATGCCAGCTAAGGATGTAAATGGATAGGTATCAACAGGTACTATAATATCATTACTGTATTTATATTTTTAAAAAATACTGTAATTAGTTTATATTATATTTTTATTCTTTAATTATTGCATACTTATATCCGTCTTTATTTAAAAAAAATATTTATAAAAAAATTCTATTTATATAATTTTATATAAATAATATAATAATATAAAAATTTAATATATAATTATTAAACGATGTTTAAATATAAATAAAAAATAAATATTTAAAAATCATAAGTGTTAAATATATTTTAATATGTCAAATTTTTATTTAAGAATTATTTTATATACATTTTATATTTATTATTATCTATATCAAAGTAAAAATATAAATAAAAAATCTTATTTAATTTAAGTTAATATAATATTATATAATTTTAATTACTAAATTTCTAAATATTTTATATGTATTATATATAAATAATTTTTTTTAAAATGTAATTTTATATCAACGGTATAATAATTAAATTATATTAATGTAGTTAAACAGTATAAAATAGTAAATAATTTTTTTAAAAAATATGAAAAAAAATATTTTTATAATTTCTTTTATTGAAAAAATATATTTTTATATTAATTTTATAAAAAAATTTAATTAGATTAATTTTTATATATTTTAATATATATTCTTTTATTTAAGTAATATAAATATTTATATTAAATTTTTTAACTTTTTATTTTGCATAAAAAATTTTAAATACAAAAAATTATAAATTAAATAACAATATTATTAAAAAATTTAAAATATAAAATTTTTTTATTAAAAAAAATAATTATAGTCTATAAAAAATTTAAACTAAATAAAAAATATAAAACATAAAATAAATAGTAAAATATTTATATTAATCAAAATTTTATAAGAATATTAACAAAAAATTTTATTTAAAAATTATTATATTTAGTTTTTAAATTTTATGAAAAGTGACAGATTAAATTTTTTTTTATGTAAGTCGCACTTTTAAAATATAACTTTAAATAAAATAAGTTATGAAACAATTCATATAATTATATAATTATTAATAATTATAAAAAATAAAGTGTTAATCTTACTTCTCGTTTTGCAAGTAAATAATCTAACCGTTGAAAGTAAATTTTGTAATTTTTGCAGATACCATTGGATACTTTATCCCTTCCTGCGGTTAATTACAATCAGATACAGCGGCCAGTGGTGGAGGCATTACGCCGATTAATGCTATTTTAATATTCAGTTTATGTGAATGGTATAAGCATAAAGTAGATAAAATAGATGTTAAAACAACAGTATTTTGACATTTTTATACCATTATTTTAGGTCTTTATGCAAATTTTAGTATAAGAAAGTAAATAATACTCTTTTATATATTTTTAAAAAATAAGTTCTGTTAATTCAAATATTTAAAATTAAGTTTAAATTCTTAAAAGTAATATTTTTTATTAAAAATATATTTATTTAAATTAAATTATAAAATTGTGTTATTATTATTATTAATTAATTTAATTTTAAAGATTAAAATTGATATTTTTTAGAATACTTTTTATTGATTAAAATATAAAAATAATTAAATAAGTTTCATTAATATTATTTTTTAATAAATTTTAATTAAAAATTAAAAATATATTAATAAAAATATGATAATGAGTGTGTTTTCAACACGCCTCTCTTAACATTGATCAACCCCTAGCCTATCGTTAAATTTAGAGAGATATCTTTTAGCAAACGTGGGTATTTTGACTTGAGAGAAATTGAGAGAAAAAACATATTGTATCAATTAGCTGCTTATTTATATGGTATGAAGTATATGAACTGAGGGTTCAGTTTCTTTTGTTGATTGAAGATTGATGTCTCTGTTTAATGCTTGTTCTATCTGTGAAGTTGGCAAGGATGCAGCTGGAGTTGCTGGTACTTTCTCTTGCCCTCAGTTTCTGGGGTGTTTTTTTCTTTTCTCTTTTGGTTACCAAAAAAGAAAACTTTTCTTCTTGAGTTTTTGATTGATGACCGAAAGAACGCATATCTTTATCTTGATCACAATATATGCTTGTTAATTTGCAGGGAACATCTTTGCTTTTGGGTTGTTTGTATCCCCCATGTAAGCATTTTAATATGGATATTTTGACAATAATTGATCACTGAAGAATTTGTTGTTTATCCTAACTCTTGTTGTGTTCTGAGTTGTAGACCCACATTTAGGAGAATTATCAGAAATGGGTCAACAGAAATGTTCTCAGGGTTGCCATATGTTTACTCTCTTTTGAACTGCTTGATCTGTTTGTGGTATGGTACACCTCTGATATCACCTGATAATGTGTTGGTTACGACTGTTAATTCAATTGGAGCTGTCTTTCAGCTTGTGTACATAATCCTCTTCTTGATGTATGCTGAAAAAGCAAGAAAGGTTATTTTTCTATATTATTGGGAAACTTATGATTAAAGCACAAACAAAGCACATTGTTTCAATATTTAACTTGATGAATGCTCTAAAATGCCATTTGATAGGTGAGAATGCTTGGATTATTGCTGGCAGTAGTGGGCATATTTGTGATCATATTAGTTGGGAGCTTGCAAATGGAGGACATCACAATGCGCAGGATGTTTGTGGGATTCTTGAGTTGTGCTTCTCTCATTTCAATGTTTGCCTCACCATTGTTTATAATTGTATGCCTATTATTTCCTAGATTTCCATCTACTTCATATTGAGTTGTTATAGTTTCTTCGGCTATTAGCTTGGTGAATTTGTTTATGTTTACGTATTTTGTGTGTATATATAACTTCCCAGAAATTGGTCATTCGGACAAAGAGTGTTGAGTTTATGCCATTTTATCTTTCACTTTCCACATTCCTAATGAGTGCCTCCTTCTTTCTTTATGGATTGGTCAGTAATGATGCCTTTATATATGTAAGTCCTTTCATCTCTTTTGTTTCCTATTACTTCTTGAAATACTCATTCTAGTTTCATGTTTTTATTTTGTTGGCTTTTATTTGTATCCCTACGTTTGTGTTTGATTTTGTAGGTACCAAATGGGATAGGAACTGTTTTAGGAATGGTACAATTGGTATTATACTTCTATTTCAAGAGTTCATCCAGAGAAGACTCCAGAGAACCCTTGATAGTGTCGTATGAATGAGAGAAGGTAAAGGCAAATACACAATTTGTGATTAAGATTTATGGTCTTCACATCAATGTGAGATGGTTCTCTGAAGTTAGTCATGAGCATTATTTGTGTATAAAATGTCCATGAGTTGAATGAGTTTATATATGGTTGTGATTATTGATTCCATGCAATTTATGAGGACATTTGAATTGAAACCTTTCACAGTATTTTAATTCAATATCTGGCATTGTCTTTTTGTCAACATTTTATTGTTACTATGTAAGAATTGATGAATTTCATGAATTGAGTGGATGAATTCATTGCAATTAGAGGATGATGTTAAATTCCACCTTGATATCATAAAGAGAAAAACAGTACCACTGAACACTCTTAAACTACTTACTTCAGATATTGAATCTCTTCTGTACCAGTTAAGTGAAAATTATTTTCTTTTACAATACCATCAATTTTCTGAATGTATTGCACTTTTGCAAAAAGATTATTCTATAACTACATCTTTATGCAATGTTAATGTAGAATGTATAGCCAAATTGCACGTGTAGGAATTGTGCACTTTAAATATTGTTAAAAATAAGGTTTGGTGAGTGAAGGGAAGCACCATAAAAAATAATGTTGAGACTAGAGATTTGACTAGCTTCATACAAATAGGATTTTAGTGTAAATCAAGTGTTAAATTGTAAATAATAAAATAAAATAAATGATTTCCCACTTGATAACATGGTAGTTAATACTGCTTTGGGTATGTTTCCTTATTTTCCAGATGGCCATAAACTTCCTTTTTTGTTGTCTGGTTTTTGCTGCTTCCCTAATTCTTCATTAAAAAAAAAAACAGAGAAGGGTGTCATTCACTTTGGAACTATTTATTGCCAGTGAAATGGAAAATGAATTATTGAATCCAAGGGGAAAACTGCATATTTGAACTGATCACATCTTGTCATTACTGTGAAACAGTCTGTCTGATACAACTTACAAGAGAAAAAAAAAAAAACAGTAACATAAGTACTAAAGCAAATCTTTTAGAGTAGTCCTCATTGTAACATTTCTTTTTTCCTGCATAAAACAGAATCAAAGTCAGACATAAACAAATTCAGCAAAAATGTTGTCTGAAACTGCAAAATTCTTGTGATTGATCTTGGAGCAATTATTGTTGCATCCCAGAGAGTGGCAGAAGGTTGGGATTGTTAATAAAGTTAAAACTTTATTTTTTTTTCTTGTGTATTTATGCATTAATTTGAGAGGTCCACTGTGCTTCAAAATGGTAATTGCAAGATAAGAAAGTTGCTTCATTCCTGCTGTTGTATCGGTAATTGGTCCAATCTGACATATTTGAATTGAGGCCAGGTTCATGATGCATAACATACAGCTACGAACAAGTTATTTTTGAGGAATTTTTGTCATTAAGGTTTACATGTTATACATTGATCTCTACTCTGACTGCATGCAGAAAACAAACTGAAAGACCCAACCAAAAGTGCTTCTCATTTTTTTTTTACACTGAAAAAGGACATAAATATCATTGTTTTCAAATTTTATCATGTTAGTCTCAAAACTAATATAGTCTATATAGGAAGGGTCACTCTATATCTACATGTATGAATTTCATTACAATAATGAGTACCCGATGTGGTAATTGATTACCTGTTTTGAAGTGTCCATGCAGTGAGTTTCGTTCTCTGAATCACGAAGAAGTCTTCCTTTTTCATCATAGAGAATGAGGCCACTAAACCTTGGTAACTCACACTTCTCCCCTCTCAGTATTGGTCTTTGCCACACCGGTGATTCTGAGTTATGGCTTTGCCATCCACTTTCAAGACCCTGCCTTTGTAAGCCAAGCAATGGGGACCCCCTCTCTCTCTGCCATGCATTGTTCTCTTCCAATTTACTTGCCTTGCTCCACAACATTGACCCCATCAACACCCTCTTCACCGAAATCCACCCTCCACAACTTGGCTCTGACCATTCTGTAGGAGCAGCAGCAGTAGTAGCAGCAGTAATAGTATTGGAAGTAGTAGTAGTAGTAGTTGAGGTAATAGTCTCATTCTCATCATCTATAGCACACTCTTGGTGCACAATCTTATTGTTCCTTGTCTTCCTTTTGAGTATAATTAAAATGCAAAGGAAAACTAGTGCAAAACTTGCACATGCAAGTAGAAGAATAGCACCTAGTGTTGAAACCTTCAATTTGTCTTCCAAATCCCACAAAGCTTCCATGTTTTTTTTTTTTTTTTTTTCTATTTTAAGTGGTACCAAGTGAACTCAGAATGGCAAGGGAGGAGAGTGGTTTGTTTTGAATCTTTTGATTGAATATATTTGGTAATTAATGTGGAATAATGAAAATAAAAGTCATGCATGTTTCCCTATTGGGTTGGCATGCTTCATATGAGGTCCACCGCTAGTGCCATTGCTGAAATTTGAGTGTAATTAAGGTTTGTGGGGCTTACTTAAAATTGTGTCGAATTTGAAAGCTGGCGCACCGTTCAAAGCCAATTAAAGGCTTCTCACGGGCATTCTGTGGTCGCCATCAAGTGATGGAAAACTTGGTTAAAACTCAAAACTATGGGAAGTAGAAGCTGTGTGTGTTGTTTGTGTATGCTCTCATGTATAGGACAAGGAAAGTAAAATTCAAGCTATTTGGACCGAGTTTTATGGTTGTGAAAACCAAGGGAGAAGAAAATTTGGAGGGAGTTTGCTGTCATAGTAATTTATTCCTAATAAAACTGGTGAAAAAACATGAGTTGAAATGATTTGATGAATGGCAAGGTTGACAGTTTGATTTGAATTTAATTTCGTACAAAAATAACCTGATTATAAATAAAATTTATAATTTGATTTAAATTGGTTTAAAAATAGTATTAAAATTAAATTAATGTAAATAGGTGTTTCGTAACTTAAATAGGATTGAATATTTTTCATATTTTATTAATAAATGAAATTTAATTAATTAGATAATGAATATGAATAAAATTTTAAATTAGCATATTATTTTTTATTTTTGTTATAAAAAGGGGTTAAACGCCCAAACCAAACATACAGGAGAGCTTTACTATTTCAACTACCACAAGCATCAAAACATAAAAATGGAAACAATTGAGAAGGAGATATATCAAAACAATGGAAAGGTAATGAAGCCTCTAACTCTATCTTAGTAATTTTGTTAGCACAACAATTAGCTTCCCTATGAATATAAGCAAAACGAATAAACCTAATAGACCTGATTAATTTTCTAATATTACAAATAAAGTCAAACAGGGGGTGAGAGGAGTGTTGAATTTGAAGAACCAGGGATAGAGCTTCCTTGGAGTCACTTTTCACCTAAATAGTGTGAATCTCCTTAAGGGAAACCATTTGAAGAACCAGCAAGATCCCCCATAATTATGCAGCCGAGGGTGAACAGAAGTCAATTTTGCTACAAAAATCAAAGACAAAAATACCGTGTTCATCACGAATGGGGCTGCCACAAGCTGCTTCCCTAGTTGTTGAGGAAATTGCTCCATCGACATTCCATTTGAGCTGGCCATGAGGAGGGAGAATCCATCTAACTCTGCTATGGTCATTAGCAAGGTTGAAAAGAGGCTTGATATTTTCCCTGCAGCAATTGAAACAAAAATTAAATTCACAAAAAACCTTGTACACTAGCAGATGAGGAGAACAAAGGAGGACTGAAAAATGAAAGAATTTCTATCTCTCCATATATACCAAGCAGTAAACCCAAACAGACTAAACCAATTAGAGAATTTCCTAAAACTATTATTAGCAAAATTCAAAATCAGCCAATCTATAATACTCAAGCTAAAAAACTTGACCCACTGATCAGAAAAAATGACATGTTCTCAAACTTCCTTTGCATAGAAACAATCTCTAAGCATATGCATGATTGATTTAGGTGCCTCACCACACCTAGAGCAAATAGGAGAGCTAGTCATTTTTCTAACATACCTCTCCTCATTTGTCAGAAGTTTACTGTGAGCTAATTTCCAAAAAAAAAAAAAAAGCAATCTTAGGAGATCCTTTCCAATTCCATAAGTATATAAAAATATTATGATCAAGATTAGGAATATGAGTAACTTTGTCACACAATTTATATGCAGTTTTAATAGAAAAAATTCCATTAGTTGAAAGATTCCAAAAAACAACATCAGAGCCCCTAGATTGATCTAGAGAAAGAACCTGAGCTATATTATTACCGATTGGGGCAAGAAGAATACGTTAATCTTGTCCCAATCCCAACCATTCTTATTAGAAAATAAAGCTACAGGGAAATCAAGTTCAAGGGTAGGGATAGAATTTATAGCAAATCTGGATAGACAACAGATTAGGCCAAACAGACAACATACTATTTCAAACATGAGAAACATTACTCTTATTTCTAACAATAGGGGTCCTTCCAAGAACAAAATTATACTTACTCCTAACAACTTGGACCTACAGATTCATGGGGAAGGAAACCAACCTCCAACATAATTTCATGATATAAGACAAGTTTAACTCATGGAGGGTTCTAAAACCAAGACCCCTTTCTATCTTAGGTTTACAAATGACTTCTCAGCTAATAAAATGACATTTCCTCCTTCCCAAGAAGCCTCAAATAAACTGTCTACATAATTTAAATCTCATTACAGACAGAGATAGGAATGAGAATAGATTGCAAAGTATATGAAAGTATATTCCTAAGACAAGATTGGGCTAAAATAACTCTCCCAGCTATAGAAAGAGAATTCATTTTCTAAAGGGATAACTTCCTCCTAATTTTATCAATAAGATATGAAAATTGTTGCCTATTAGGTTTTTTATGACTAATAGGAATTCCTAGATACCTCTCAAACTAGTTAGAGGGAGGGATGCCCAATTCCTTACTAATAGCTTGAGTTAAAACAACATCAATGTTATTGGAGAAATAAAGGAAAGATTTATTAGTATTAATATTCAAGCTAGAGACAGAACAGAAAGTCCTTACCACAAAATTAATAAGAGAAGCTTGTTGAACAAAGGTTGTAAAGAATAAATGAGAAATTTTAGGACCATCCACCCCAAGGCAAAAAGTACTCCACTCACTGTTCCTAACTTTATCCATAATGAGGTGGGCCAACCTCTCAATACAAATAACAAAAAAGTAGGGGAATAAAGGATCCCCTTGGCGAATACCTCTAGAAGGATAAAAAGGTGAAGACATAACATTATTTACTTTAATACGCAAAGAAGAAGAAGAAATACAATGGTTTATCAACTATGCCAAACTAGAATTAATGCGAGCCAGATTACAGATTAAGTGAATCAGAAATAAAACCCCATCTAGCTTATTATATATTTTTTCTAAATCAAGTTTGATAATCATATACCCAGTTTTACCTTTCAGCTTGTGAAAGGAATGCAACATTTCTTGCAAAATTAGAGAATTATCAATGCCCTGCCTCCCAGGGATGAAACTGGACTAGTTGGGGAGATAATATGGGAAAGTAAATCTCTAAGCTTATTAGCTATAATTTTAGTTATGATTTTGTAACTCATGTTACAAAGAAAAATAGGTCTAAAACTCCTAATATGTTTAGGATTATCAATCTTAGGAATAAGAGAAATACAAGTATCATTGACATCAGCAATTTTATAAGAGTTTTTGAAAACATCTAAAACAAAATTATGAATAAAAAGGCTTAAAAAATTCCATTAATTTTTGAAAAATAAGGCATGGAGCCCATTCGGCTCCGAAAATATGAAATTACCCATACTGAAAAGGGAAGCTTTAATTTCTTCTAGAGAAACAGGAGAATCTAACCTATTTCTATCCTCCTCTCTGAGGAGAGGAAAAGAGCTAACGTTGGGAAGGTCAGAGTTGACAAGATCAAGGTCAAAATATATACTTTTAAAATAATTGAGGGCAATAAGTCTAATTTTAGAGGGATCATATTCCCAAACATTTTGATCATTTTGAAGGGTCTCTATAATATTTTTTTTTTTTTTGCGAGAAATTGCAGTCTTATGAAAGAAACTAGTATTCTTATCTCCTAAAGTTATCTAATTACTTCTATAATAATGGAACCAGAAAGACTCTTCCTGATCTAAGATGGACTGATAATCATTCTAGAGAGATTGACTAAGATTAATAAGAAAAAGATTACTACCTTTAGCTAACTTTTTATAAATAGATGTTTCGTAACTTAAATAAGATTAAATATTTTTCATATTTTATTAATAAATGAAATTTAATTAATTAGATTATGAATATGAATAAAATTTTTAATTAGCACATAATTTTTTGTAGTGTTTATTTTTTATTTGATATAATATTTATTAAATAAAATTAAATATAAAATAATTGGTTAACTAGATCAAATCTTACCATATATTACAACTTCATTAAATTATAAACCACAAATTAAAATAATATCAATTTTTCTTATAAAAGTGTAAATAAAATAGATTTAGTATAATATATTTTAAATTCAAGTTTATAAAAGAATAAATAAAAAACAATATAATATTAGTATATAAAACATAAGAAATCCTAATGGAAAAAAATTGTGTAGATAAAGTTAATATTTTAAAATTAACTTTTCAGGTAATAAATATAATAAACTTACTGAATTATACTTTTAAAAACTTTCTATCATGACTAATATGTGACTCTGAAACTTGTTATACAAATTAGTATTTTCTTTTATATTACATGAATATTATTAAATTAAGATTAAATTATAAATTTAGTATCTAAACTTATACAAATTATTTAATTTGTTCCCAATAGTAAAAAAATTTATAATTTAGTCTTTATACAAGTAAATATTTTTAAACAAATTCTTATCATTTTAAAATCTATTAACGGTGTTAAAAATTTGATGACATGGCTTCAAAAGCATTCGGTTGCATTTGACGATCAAACTTGTACTCATCCAAAACTCCCTCAGCTCTCATTTCTCTTAGAGGGTAACCTCACTCATCTTACTACTATCCTCTTTCTCATCCCCAGATTTAACACTACCATCACCGCCTCTTAGCTTCCTCTGATACACTACAAACTCAACCTTCTCACCAAGAGACAATGCATAAAGCCTAACAAAACCTGCATGATCCCAGGCCTCGTCTTTGAAATCAAACATGTTGAGAATCCTCATCACTCTGTGAGTGGCATGCACAATCTCTTCCTCAAACACGGGGTGATCATCAACTAAAAGCCTGTGAACAAGCACGAGTGACTCAACTGCCACAATCCAACCACG